ATGCATAACCTGCCACTGCTGCCTACACAAGAGAGAAATTTAGGTCGATTACAAGTGTGGAAAAAGTCCCAAATGGAGCTTTGTGTGTGTATGTGCCAGTAATGCTGATGGAGAGGCCAGTCAGTGTGCCAACTTGGCAGTAACTGGAAAGGCCTTGTTACCAGCTTTACCAGTGCAGTCTAGCTGCTGTTCTTTATCGCTGTTTCTCTCAATCTCTCTCTTTTTTCTGTGTTTCTTTCTCTGTCTGCCTCTCTCCTCATGGTTATATAAGGCTGCTGATCTGAGGAATGGGTTGAGGATGGCAGGTTCTGGTTGTGTCCCCTCTTTAGCATCCAAATCTCAGCTTCCAGCCTATACACTACAAGATATTATTAACTCTTTAAAATGTCAGGGAACACAGCATATTAAAAATGTTTGTATGATACGAAATTGAGTTATATTAAACATCTATCAAAGTTTGAATTAAAAAAATGGCATAAATATAATAAAACAAGGCTTTAATATAGTAATGTAGTATAGTATATAACATAGGTCTAATACAGTAATGAGCATGCTAGGTTGTCATCTCTCAGTCCAAGACTCCCAGCCTGCTACACCACCTAAGCAGAACTAAACACAACAGCTTGAGTGAGGAGAAATGAGTGAAACAAGCTCTACATATGCAGATGGTGTTGTAGATTACTTCACTGTGTCCATGGCTCACAAAAACATTATCGAGGTTGTGCATGGTGAAGTCTTGAATAAAGTAATGTTCTTATTAATTTTATGGCTGGATGTGCATCCAGGGGAATGTGAACACACAGAATACTGACATGGTCACTTAGATGGAATGGAAGAATAAATAATTGAAAGGACAAACAACAAGAACAAATTGATGAACGGACAGAAGAATCCTGGTATTAGAGTGAGAGGCCTTTAATTTGAGCCATACATGTCAAAACTCAGCCAAAACATGAGGAAAAAAAAACCCACTTCTACAATAATGCTGACTCCCGCTAGCATCCCTATAGGATTCGCATTAACATGTTTTTGGTAGCTCCAGATTAATCACAGACATTTGAAGCTTCTAAAAGACATTCCACAATTCACTTGAAGCATGAAAAAGGACTCCCAGAAGGCCTAAAGTGACTTTTTTCACCTGAAATTGGTCCCACCTATTGGAAATCAGAAGCATGATCGGTTGTTTCCTCTATCACTTTATATTTACATGGATAGTTAATGTAATGTGTTAGGCCTTCTTTTCAGCTCTTAAAGTCTTAACCAGTAGGAGTCCTTGCTTTGGTATATCTATCTATAGTGTTTAAAGACTAGCATGATTCTATGGGATAAAAATGAACTAAAACTTAAAGACATGTACTTTTGTTAATTCCTAGAAAACATTATGCCTTCTATGAAGGCCTAGAAGGCCCTGAGGTGTCCCCTCTGATGAACGGATAAACAAACAAATGAGCAAACAGAAGTTGGGCAGACTGACAGACAGGTGAACTAGCTTGATAGCTCCATCAACCTTGTGATTGGTGAAGGTAATGCTCACATAAATGTTACCCCAGATTCAAATCTCCCAGTCTACACAGAAATGAGAGAATCCCGCTGAGATGCATTGTTCATTTAATAGACAGTGGAGCATTATTCATAGGGTATGCTTTACTGCTAAACTGTTTGTCCACAACAGCAAGATTTGCCTAATTAATTCATTCATTCATTCGTCCATTCATTCAGCCACCTTCTTAAACTGCTTGATCCAGCTAGGGTTGTGCTAGCAATAGGGAAAGCAGAGAATCCCAGATGACCCTTGGGCTAATTATAAAACATGATTTTAGGTTCCCTGAGGCTTTAGTGCTGAAAAAAGTGTCTATTTCTGCATTTTAATCAACTTTAATAATGTGACCTTTAGTAATGTGACTTCTCAATAAAATGGTCACTCTTATATGGAAAGAGTTTCATATGGAAAGAACATGATCTAACAAAACCAAAAATGCTAATTGTTTTGTCACAAACTTCCATTTTGAACAAGCAAATGTGAATAAGAATATACTTCACACTTGCTGTCTTTCATTATTACTATGATGAAAGAAATCAATTATAAGCCCTTAGTGAGCCCATAGCTCAGAGTGCATCCAACAATAAAGGCAGCATTATAAGCTGCTTCTATACAGTGATAGAAAAATGGTAGCATATGAAGCTCCAATTCCACAAGCTAAAACATTTTGCTGTGGGAAACTGTGACCAAATGCTCTGGAGGTAGATTTTAATTAGTTAAAAAGGACACCACCAAAATCTATGGATGTAGTGCCAGCAGCATGTTAGGCAGGACAGGGTTAATTCTCTACCTAATAATGTGTTGAACTCAGCCAAAACCAACAGCCCACTCCTTTACATTGGACATCCTGAAAAATTCTGCTGCATCACATCGCCACCTGGCTTGTCCACTCTGTGGAAACGTCTAGCTTGCTCCTGGCAGGCTGATTGCCGCGGGAGAGTGCTGCTGCTTCGTCTCCGGCTCAGCAAGCAGCCACATTTGAATGCATTGCACCAGTGCCACCTGCTTAGTTAATCATATATCATGCCACTGTTGCACTGCCCTGGAACTATACAGGTAAGTAATACATGAACATATACAAAAGCACACATGCTGGTCAGGTGGTTTAAATATTGAAATATCACACCAGGGCGCTGTCTCGGTGACACTCTGGGGCAGCCTTCCTCCCTCAAGCCTGCATATGTAGGGGTAGTGCAAAGGGAGGATTTGTCATTTAGCACAGACCCACAGGAGGGCTGATGGGAAAGTTCTGATTGAGGGTGACAGAGAGACAAGGACACAGCATCCATCAGGGGGTGTGGCCTACATTCCCAGACTACAGATTAAGACACACACATGCAAACACACAGACACACACAGGTTTGTTTTTAATACAGCGTCAGAACCCAGGGTCACACATATGTCCCAAATGTATTATATACATGTAACCTCCTATATTTAATATGATTTTTAAGCCTAATCCTAACCCTAACCTTAACTTCATGAATCAAAAAGAAATGGTTTTGCCCTTTAAGGCTTAAAAAAATGAAACAAAGATGTAGTAAAGTCAGGACTATGCTGTTGGTCCTTACATTGCAGATCAGCCAAATTTTTTTCTGGTTTTACTACAAAGTCAGGACATAATTGTCTTGAAAATGTATGAAAACACCCACCCCAACACACACACACATACACTCAGACTACTCACGCACACCCTGCTGCTGCTGCCAACTTCAAAGGCCTGGATGTCGAGTGTGCCAGTACAACAAAACAAGGTGTCAATAGATTACAAACTGTAACAAACCTAAAATCTGTATCACAGCTATTTTGATTTCCTGTGCTGCTTCTTTTTTGTTGTATTTCCATGGAAATGAAGAAAGACCAATGTGTAGTTACTTCACCTTATTTCACCGTAAATAATTTTTGACTGATCTCTCATTCTCATGGCCTTGTCTACATTCAAAGATGGAGTACAGTGAGTGAGGATGTCAAACTGCCTCGGTAAAATTAGTTTAAGTAGAAGGATACATTTTGCAATAGAAAAAAAAACAATTTCAACATGCATAGTATACAAAAGACTTATTAAGAATTCTTACACAGTCATCTGATTAAATATTTCGCAATTTTTAAGAAAATTTCTCATTTCTAATTTCTAATTTCATTCTTCGTGGGTCCAAACTGAGCACTAAAATGTTGAAATAACAGTTGAACACTTTTTTTTCAGGCTACAGTGCATCTTAAGTTAACATGGAAGTTTTGTGTTCTTCTTCAGGAGCTAGAACCTTCTGAAAAGCCTATGCACAGCATTTATTTCTCCCTAATGACATCTATGGGAAGTATGCTGTGTGCAAAAATCAGAGACCATCGTTCGTTCATTTAATTTTCAATCAAAACAGCCATTATCCACAAGTTATTAATTTTCCAGGAGATATTTGTGAGGAACTTAGATATAAGAGAATACACTTGCATATGGAAGAGCAACGACAAAGAAAAACAAGCGAAAAAACAGTAGTTTCTGAAACAGTTTTCAAATATTAATAAAGGATATAGAGAGAATAGGACAGTGCAAGACCTGGTAGACCACAAAACAGTCAGCATCATATAAACAGTACTAAAAGCTTTCATCTTTGAGAGACAGGAGAAAATTAAGCTCCACTCTTGTTTTAGATATGAAACAACTCATAGGTGTTTCTGTCCATCCTTCCACTGTGAGAAAACAACCCAGTGGATCTGAAAGAATGTGTAGCACCCCAGACACTGTTACTGAGAAAACTGTTACCTACATAACTCACTGAGAAAAAAGAAGAAAATGTGCTAATCTAACAAAAAAAACTGCTGGCATTCTCAGAACAATGAACTGGCCACCCCAGAGTCCAGACCTTAACATCACTGAATGTATTTGGGTTTACTTGGTGGTAAAAGCAGAAAATGCAACCAACTTCTAAGACTGAATTTTGGAATTGTGGAAGAATATCTCTGCAGATTTTTTGAAAACTAAAAGCAAGTCTACTGAAGGAATTTATTCCTGAAAAAAATGGAAGCTGTAATAAAGGCAAAGGGTCCTGAAAAGTTCTGAAAGATTTGATATTATATTTAGTTGTTAATGCTTCTGTATAATCTTCCGTCAATATTTGTATTCTGCTTTATTTTTCTAACACTGAAAAATGAATATCTTTTGGTCATTTTGCCTGGAAATGAAATAAATAAAGGGTTGTCTCTGACTTTTGCAGAATACTAAACATATTTGTAAGCAAAAAACAAAAATTATGTGGCTAACTGAACGTCATAAAGAAGCACAACCTATTTCATAGAAAGTGTTACTTAAGATCTGATCAGCTCCATGTGAAGCCCATGTGAATCATACTGCAAATTCACTGATCTCCAAAGAACAGGATGGGACTTAGGTCGGATGCTCTTGGTGAAAGGTAGTGTTCATCAGCTTCCTTCACTCACTCTAATTGCTATGGGAGTTAACTCTTACCTGACTGAGCTGGCCAGTTGGTGATACTGTGACATTAGCTGCGTGACATCTGAAGTTAAGGAGTGTGTCTCCCAGCAAGCCCGGAGCCTGCACAATGCCAGTAGGCCTGCCCTGACCAGTGTCAGTGACAGGGGGTGCCAGAGAGGACCGCTGCACCACCGTACACAACAGACCCATTACACTCGAGGGCCTGACCATGAAAGCTTCGAGAGCTATGTTAGGAGAGACCTGCAGAGAGAGAGAGAGAAAAAGAGAGAGCGAGACAGAGAAAGAGAGAAATAGGGAAATAAAGAGAGCATGAGTGAGCGAGAACAAGAGGTAGGGGTGATTTAGTGATTTTGACCTAGTTTCTTTCTTGCTGTTTGTTAAAAAATAAACATTATTTGTTTGTACAAGAGCGATGTATGAGTCAAGGACCCCCCTGATTATGAAAATACGTAATGAGTAAACAAAGAACACATTACACATCGCACAGACTGTAACTTACATAACTAGCAGGATAATTGATGATGAAGGTCACTTGGGACACAAGCATGAATAGAGGTTTATTAAAGGACAGCTGTCTTTATTTTAGGTTTTACAAATAAACTGTTTACAGCTAGTTGTATGCAAAAATACCCCCAAATTACATATGTTGTTGATTTTCTAAGTGAAAATATGTTAACACATCCTCTATGGGGAACAAACTTAAATATGGCATTTTTCTAATAATTTTAGAGCAAAATTAATTTGCAAAAAATCTTTAATGTTATTACCCCTCCAGTACATGAAATTCAGCAAACAACTAGCAATTGTGTGTTAATGTGTATTTTTTTTTATTTAGAAAATCAACAAAACATGTAACTTGACCAGGGCACGCTAACTTTTGCATACAATTCATTTTTTGCAAATCAGTCAGTCATTATAAGACATTATATTTAAGTAGATCACATTTGCAGCACTAAATCTTTCTGAAACAGTGTATGAATGTCTGAATGTGTATGGTATGCAGGCATATGAAAGCCCTGTGTTTAGGTTTCTATTAACTTTCTATTACCTTTAACTGAGGTGTAACTTACTGAGTAAGAGTTCAAGTGTATGCTGATGGAGTACCTTTGAGGTGTTTGTGAGTGAATGTATCCCCATGCATGTGCGGGATGTATTTAAGCACCTTTGAGATGTTCTAACTAAGTGAGAGAGTGAATATGATTGCGTAGGTGAGTGAATTAGTGTGTTACCTTTGAGATGTTAGGGCTGTGTGTGTTGAATATGAGATCAGCGATGCGCTCCACACACTGTACAATGCGAGTGCACGCTCGGGCTTCATTCTGAGCCATCCACAGGATGTGCTCCTCCACTTGCATCATGTTGCTAGCGATGTCTGACACATAGTCCCCCAACTGGAGGAAGAGCAAGATTCAGGATAAATGCCTGATTCCAATAAGCAGAAGAAATACAGGGAAGGAAGATGACAAAAGACTGAGGTTGTGTGTCATTCTGTAGTTTTTGAAATGCCCAAATAAGGAACTCCAGGTTTGAGTGTTTTTTTTACTTATGGGATAAATGAGTGGCATTTTTGAAAAACTGCCTCTCTTGTATCCTGTAGTAAAGGGTCTGTCTTGCATACATTTTCCCCAGAATGACACGGGGTCCTCTGAATTATGACATCTTTAAGTGGTCAAAATACAAATACTGCCTCATGCTACAAGTTAGCTAACATTCTCGCACATTAATTTTTCCCATAGACGAAATCAGCTTAGACCAACAGTGTCCAATCTTCTCCGCAGAGGGCTGGTGTGGCTGCAGGTTTTCACTCCAACAAAGCAGGAGATCACCTGACAAAATGTTTGAAGACTAAGACCAACTGATTAAACAAGCAGAATCAGGTGTGCTTCAGCTTGTTTGGAGTAAGACTGGACACCCCTGGCTTAGACCCATAGCTCATCCAGATGCTCAACATATCCTCAGAGGTCTATATGCATTGGACTTGATGAATTCTTTAAAGGGCTCATATACTACATTTTTCTTGTATTTTATTGTCTTTTCCCTGAGGTGTTCTTATAACATTTGTGTGGATCTGTGTACCAAAAATAGTCATAATTCACTTTTACATTATCATTTTCTCTTTATCTCTTGGAATTAAACAGGCTGTTTTTGTTAATGTGCCTTTAAGACTGATCTGATCTGACTGGCTGCCCTTTATTGTGCATTATTCAAAACAATCCAGGTTAAATCATTTCTTATTTGTCCCATGTTTCTTATACATAAATGCTTTGGTTTTCATGACACCATAAAAACAGTGCTTTCAAAACAAGCTGTTTTTGCCGCTTAGTTTCCATATATGGACTATATGAATTGTGGAGTGAATGATACATTTTGAAACTTGAACAGTGCTTACATTCTACATCAAACTCTTTTATGTAAAAAAATAAATAAATAAATTAGCCACTTCAAATAAAGTTTAATTTGAACTCTGCTTCTGTAAAACATCCACAATTGACTGAATGATCCATTCTAGATAAATATTCTCACAAACTCATCTTTATTATTACATGTGACATGTGTACAGTGAACTGAAACTACAGACATAATATGAAGTATTGTATCCAAGTACAGTTTAATATGAAGTCCATCTGTCATTATATTCTCAATCAGTAACATGACTCAGTTATTCACTCCATCCACTGAACCAATCCTAAAAACATCTGACATTTGCCAGACGTTTGCTAGAAACAAGCTTAACATGTGCAAATGTTAGAGTTTATCCACCCTAATACATTAACGTGAGCTTCAGATCATGTCATGTATCTGTTTAACTACACAGAGTACAAGTTTTCATCTAAATGCAAAATTCTGACTCTTCATTCGTTTTGAATGAAGATATAATTAAGATTAGTTTTTCTAACTGAGCTGCATTATATCCTTTGGCTGATGGGCAATTTGCATAGATCACTTTATTCATACTTTCCTAATAAAAGAAACAAGATTTCTTGGACTAATGACATTCATGGCATTGCTGTGACACCGTGGCCCCTGACCTTGGAGCTACGACCGAATCCAGTGACAGCTCCACAAATCTACAAATCTACATATCCCCACATCTCCTGTTTAATGCTTTATTGCTTGCATTACTATTGTTTCAGCATTTCAATGAAAGCTTACTCTTAGTACAATATAAAGGAAGTGAAACAGAATAGCTGTGTGACATTATCAAAACACAATCAGCATTAACAAATTACTGCTATTTACTACTTTCTGTTTATAGTAAAGTTTCCAGGAAATATGTTTAAATCTGGAGGACACTGCATACTTGAGAAGCAGGAACAGTACCTCTGGAGTTTATCTAGAGTCTGAGAATGTTTACATAATGGAAATATGTGGCTCTTAAAGCAACTTCATAGCCATTATGAAACTGTAAAGCCACTACAGAAAGCCTTGGTTGGTATGTCTGAGAAAGATGAACCTTCCTTTTAATTTCACTAATCTCACATGTGAATTATTACACACATATACATTCCTGTAAGCATAAGTTAATTGTGTATAAAGAGGATTATGTGCCAAAACGCTCCCAGCTCGGGTTGTAGTAGCATTATACAAACACTGAAAGCCAAGCGGACTTTTTTCCCCTCTAGTTATGTGTATATGTGTAATGTAAACTTCCCTACAGCTAGCGCACTGAGCTCCTACACTCACCCAGACAGCCACGACCGACCGTTTCCTCCAGGAAACCCAAAGCTTAGGCAGACTTCCCCTCTTTAGCACCTTGCCAAATGCTGCGTTGGGAATACTAAAATCACTAAAAGCGCACATCTTCAGTCTATGTAATAGACTAAAGGCTGAAAACCGCAGTCTATAAAATGGGCTCAGCCTGTAAACTGCATGGCAGTAGAGCTCTGAACCTACTACAGAGGAGCTCACAGGGTGTAAGTATAAGTGGATTCATAACAGCAAAAAGTAGAAAGCTTACAATAACCTTTAAATAAAATCTAAAGCTACACTATAAAACAAAAATAATTAGCTTCAAAACAAGTGCCTTGCCATCTTGCTTTTGTAACTACAGAAGGAGAAAATTTGAAGATTTCTGATTCTGTACGTAAGTGTGTATATGAATCATTCTATCAAAACGGTCCAAAGTCAGAGGCGAAGACCCATTTCAGATTCTTAACTCACTCGGACTTTAGATTAAAATCCTGTTGCTTTGAATGACCCTATATCTTTATTATGTTTATTTTCATAGAATAAATCACTGAACATTCCATTTTGCCACTACCAATACAATAATAATGCCTCCAAAACAGTTTTTTTTAAATTAAACTCCAAGTGTTTCACTTTCACATTAAAAGACATAGAAAAGTCTTTTGAAAACAACACTGAATTAAAATTAAGTATTATTTCTAGTCAAAATGTAGGGGTTAGGGTTTAGGACAGCCACCTCCCATTAGAATCTGCCATTATAAATGATGATTTGTATCTCAATTAATAAATAGATCACACAATGATAACAAAGTTCTTGTAAACATCTAAAGACTGAATAGTTACTGTTTGAGATCATTCAACTATTTTTAATATAAGATAAAAAAAAACACGAGTAAACACAAAATACAGCTTTTAAATGATCATTACATTTATTGAAGATAAAGATTTATTCAAAACCTATATTACCCATTTGAAAAAGTATTTGCCCCCTAAACCTAATAACTGGTTCTGCTACCCTTGGCAGTAACAACTGCAATCAAACATCTGCGATATGTCTTTTACATTGCTGTGGAGGAATTTTGGCCCAACCTTCTTTGCAGGATTGTTTTAATTCGGTAACTTTGGAGGGTTACTGGGCATGCACTGCCCGTTTAAGGTCTTGCCACAGCATCTCAATGGGATTCAAGTCAGGATTTTGACTCGGCCATTCCAAAACCTTAATTTTGTTTATTTTGAGCCATTCAGAAGTGGACTTGCCTGTGTGCTTCAGACCATTGTTCTGCTGCATAACCCAACTCCACTTGAGCTTTAGGTCATGAACTTACCAACATTCTCCTTCAGGATTTTCTGATAGAGAGTAGAATTCATGGTTCCATCAGTTACAACCAGTGGTCCAGGTCTTGCAGACGCAAAGCAGCCCCAGGCTATCACACTACCACCACCATGTTTGACTGCTGGTATGATGTTCTTATGGTAGAATGCGGTGTTAGTTTTACGCCAGATGTAACAGGACCTATGTCTTCCAAAAAATTTCCACCTCTGACTCATCAGTTCACAGAAAATTATCCCAAAAGTCTTGCCGGTCATCTAGATGTATTTTGGCAAATGCGCGGCTCTTTTTTTTGTGGTTTGCGCCTTGCAACTCTCCCATGGATGTTGCCCAGAGTCATTCTTACTGTGGAATCGTGCACACTGACCTTAACTGAGGCAAGTGAGGCTTGCAGTTCTTTAGATGTTCATCTGGGTTTATTTTGACCTCCTGAGTCGTCAATGTGCTATTGGTGCAATTTTGGTAGGCCAGCCACTCCTAAAAAGAAGGTTCACCACTGTTCCAGCTTTTCTCCACTCGTGAATAATGGCTCTCACTGTGGTTCGCTGGAGTCCCAGAGCCTTAGCAATGGCTTTGTAACCCTTTTCATGCTGGTAGATTTCAGTGACTTTGTTTCACATCAGTATTTGAATCTCTTTAGAACGTGGCATCATGTGCTGCTTTTTGAGACCTTCTAGCCTGCTTCACATTGCCAGACAGGTTCTACTTAAATTGACGGTTAGATTTAACAGGTCTAGCAGTAATCTTGCCTGGGTCTGGCTAGTGAAATTGAACCCAATAATCAATTGCTGATCATGACTGACATCTGAAGCTCACTGTATTACAATAGAGATGAAATTGTTATTCCATATGATATAATTATTATTATTAATAGTCAGTAAATTAATGTATTTCTAATCTATTGTGTGTTGCATTGGAGATGATGTAATCAGCAGAAATACTACTAGACCACCAGCGACAAGTTTCCAAAAGAATACTAAATTTCAATTCAAAAGCATGTTACAGTAGCACCCAATGTTTCCCTTTCATTAAAATAAATAAATACAAACATGACCAGCACTATCTAGTTCCATAGTGGAAGTGCTTACGACCTCAAAGCTCAGTTTCATTTCACATCTGAAGTGACTGCACTTAAATTGAACACGAAATCTGGTCCCTTTCTTTGTCTTGATATTTGAAATGTAGGCTGGAATTTCAGTCTCTGAAATGGATTCAAACAGACTCCTTGAACTGACTGAGATGAAATATAATAAAAGGAATGGACTGTGCAAGGCAAGCTGGGAAAAGCTCTTACTTCTCGGATACGATCAACCAGGCATGTGATCTTCTCTACGAGGTGTGTGACAAAGACGACATCCATCATATCTCCAAACATTGCTGCACTGCTGGTGAAGGAGGAGAGTTGTCGAGCTAGAACCAGAGCATTAGTGGTGTTCACTGGTATCTGTACGAGAGAGAGAGAGAGAGAGAGAAAGAGAGAGAAAGAAAGAAATCAAACAAATCGAACAACGAATCCCAAATTTTAAAAAATGTAGAAAAGAAATTCTTGGAAAGGGGCACAGAGCTCCCCTCACTGCTAAATATGTAACATCTCACCGCATGAGAGATAGTGGGTAACACCCTCCATACTCCAACTCTACTAACCCCTTTCACCATATACAACATGTAAAGTGTATAAGTAAATATACCTTATTACTTACTTAATTAATTACTTTTACTAATACAACTATGGTTATAACTATGGTTATAACCATGGTTGTTGTTGTTGTTGGTACTAAGGATGCTCCAATATGGAAATTATTTCAGAGCACAATAAATGCATCATCAAATTTCATTTTTAACTATCAGTCAAATCTAAACGCTGGCCCAACACTGACAAATTTTATTAAGAAAAAAAAATAAAACACATACATAAATAAAAACTGCTGGTCCTGATATACTTCTGACATCCCTAGTTATTACTGTTGTTGCTATCTTTGTTGATGATGTCACTGTTATTGCTGTGTTATTATTGTTATTATGCTTTGGTAATATTGTACCTGATACAATCGTGCCAATAAAGCTATCCTGAAGGGAGAGGGAGGGAGACAGACAGACAGAAAAGAGAGACACAGAGACAGAATGAGACAGAGAGGCGTAAAGAGACAGAAAGACCGAAAGAGACAGAGACACATAGATAGGGAAAAACAGAGAGTGAGAGAGAGAGAAAGAGGATTAATCACAATAAATTACAGAAAAAAGAAGAGGCAGGGAAGACTCCTGCAGATATAAGGTCACCCTAATCAAGCTGACGGTGTATTTGTGCATTTAGCATTTTGCTAATGAGCTTTCTGTAGTTTTTCAGGGAAGTGAAGCATGTCTGAGGTTGGAGGGGTGAGAGGGGTGAAGTAAAGCACCTGCTATTTCTGCAACAGTATAAATAGTCACAATTAAATAGAAAATGTACATGTTTCATTTTAGCTACACTGTCAAAGTATATCAGAAAGGATGGTCACTAAAACTGCTCAGGCCTACAAGGCAGAGAACAGTATGTAAGCTCTTCACAGAACAAGGTCTGTAACATATTAATTTAGTTAGTCAATGATTCAGTATGATTTTGTGTGCACTGATACGCAAAGATATCGAGCATATAGTTCTGCATGGCAGAAATGCTGTGCTTTTGCAATGCCTACAGTTATTATTGCCATTTCACTTCCCCAGATATTCCACTCAAAAGGACTTCTTTCAAGGGTTTCTTATAACAAGAAACAAACACAAAATAAATCACATAAATATTTCAGTGGAAAAGAGGAACTGAACAGGAGGTGCATCTTCAGTGTGTCCATCTATATAAGTAGGATATATATAGAAGATATACAGTATAACCTCAGAACTGGCTACAGGAAAAGAAGGAAGAAAAAGTAAGAACACAAAGAAGAAAACCAGGGTTCACTTTTAAAAGCAGGGTTAAGGAGGTTTGCCCCTAAAGCTCCACCAGGATGTGGCTCCAGCCTTCAACAAACAACTGAGTCAGTACAGGAAGGTGGAGTGAAGCAAAGGGGAAAGGTTAAGAGATGTAGCTTACAGGAGCGGAGAAGAGCACAGGAGGTTAAATCTTTGCCCTTAAAATGTCCATCAGAAAATGCTGAAACAGCATTTTGGATGCCTTAAGTTATAGGCAACATTTCCTTGGGGGAAAGATCAAGAGAGGGCATTTGCATCTCCTTAAATGTTCACGTCAACTCACTTAAATTAAGGAATTTCAAAAAATGTTTTCATTTTGTAAAAGCAACTAATTTCCAGGTCGAGCTCAACATCAAAACGTCTTCACATTTGTCAGTGCCGGGGCCAAAGACTTGATAACACAGCAAGATTGGCTCTGTAGTCCAGTTCTGTTGTAAACGCATGCTACATTGCTACCTCTGCTTCTACGCCTTCAACTATCTGTACCGAGTTTCATTTTAGTTTTAAAATGTATAGTACTTATTGCAAACATCATACAGCAATGTAGTCATTATCTACATTTTTTGCATGTTTTGTAGTGTAGTCAGCTAATAACCATGCAGTGCCAGTACACATGAAAGGTAGTGCTAGGCTAATTGCTACCACACACTGCCGCCAGTTAGCAAGACGATTAACTGTGTGTGCAGAGTGTTCCACAGTTACTATCATTTTTAACAATGTGATATCATTAGTGAGGGAGATTTAATGGAAAAGCCATTCTCAAAAATAAAGGACCTTGTCCTTTTTTCAAGGTCCCAGGTTGAGATCCAGTAAAATGAGTAAGGACGTTGTTTATATTTTGAATTGGATAAAACACGTTACACATGATTTGAGAGCCTGGCAATTTTACTGATATAGATGCAAATAGACTGTTGACTTAAAACATCAGTGTGCCATTTTAGTCTATAGTTATGTCACAATGACGCATGTAGCACAATTACTGGTACTAAGCACATTCAAGAGGCATAGAAAGTACTTTGATACTGAATTTGGTCTGTCACAATCAGCATTGCGTCTGGCACAATCACAGCACTGCGTCTTGTGTTGTCAGCTTAAATATTTATTGTTGTATGTTAGTTTGCATATTTATTGCTTAAACATACCTTTACATTTGTCAGTTAAGAACGTCCATAACTGCAAGGCATTCAAACGGCCCTCTGTATGATGATCATGATCATTGTGATGTTTATATGATACAGTGGTCAATTTAAGTCTTTCCAATCAAATAAATGGCATTCAAAACTGCATCACACACAGTACAGAATGGAATGTTCATGTTCTTTATCTCATATCCATATGTGGTCGATGCCTCAGTGCAATTGGTTTTAATGACAAACATACCCTAAACATACTCAATGTATCTTTCAGCATGAGCATATTAAAAAACAAATAACATTCATCACTGTAGCTCACCTGTGTAAGTTCATGCAGCACACGGGTGAACCTGCTGGAGTATGGACATTGATTGTAGTCTTCTTCTGCCCACCGGCCCTGCTTGTCACACCTGCGCCACGCCCTCTTCTCATGAGAGGCGGAGCTGTAGGTAGGTGTGGCACAGGGCAGGAAGGTCTTGAAGCCAGCCAGTGTCTTAGGCCACCTGTAAGGGGTGAGAGAACTGTCACGTATGCAGTCATTGTTAAAAATAAAGGTTCTCTAAAAGTGTTCTTTGGTGCAACTCCATATAAGAACCATTTTGAATTACAGCATGGCTCTTTAAAGAAGCATTCTGAAGCTTTTAATAACCTCCATATAATCCAAAAGTTCTATTTCAATTAAATATTTTACGGTACGTCCAAGGAACCTTTAGGAAATGTCATTTTAAAAAATGTATTACACACACTAGCGATAAGCTGCTTTAAGGCACCAGTGTGTGATTTCAGTCTATAGTTACATCACAATGACGCACATAGCACAATTATTGAAACTAAGGACATTCAAGAGGCATAGGAAGTGCTTTGATCTTGAACTTGGTCTGTTCACTATTCGAGATAGAAGCAACACATCCAACATTATCAATCAGTTTCAAAAGTTTCTGCTTTAAGAAATGAATTATTCACAGTATGTTTCTGTGGTTAGAAAAAAAAGATGGATGTATAGTTTTGTACAATACAGTTATAAATAATGGAACATACAAAAGAATCATCTGAAATCCTAGCCTTGGTTTCGGGAAAAATAATTACATAAGAGACACCTAAATGAATTAAAACTACACAGCATTTTTTATTAAAGCAAAAGCATCTTTATCATCATCAACAAAGGCTCTTCAAATAACATCTGGCAGAAAATTTTCTCCACAACAAAGGGAGATTTTCCAGTGCATTACTTTAGTATTCTGTATAAACAGCAGCAGAGTGCTGCTGAATGGAACACTTACGAAACTAAAATGCAGGAAAAAAAAACAAAAGAACATACAGAACAACAGCAGCCCCAAACAAATGTGGAGACTCTGAGCCAGCCCCAGCCAGCACTGCTTCACCTCATTAACTACTGATTGGTGCCCTGCCAGCCACAGACAGTGTTAATGACCATAAAAAATGAGAGGTGTGTGTAATTTTCTATTTTAGGCAGAACTTCTGTTGTGATGTTTTGCTGCTGTAGGAATAATGTTATATGTGCTATTGATTAACCTTACGGATATACTGCATCTTATAATGAATGTGTGTTTGTGAAAGCTCTGTATGTGTATTATGGATTTTTCATGCTGCAAGGTGACTTTAAACAGCCCTAAGTGGGTTTGTGTTTCTACTCATGGACACACCTGAAGTCACCTTTGTTGCTGGTCACCCTCTCTGCTGAACAGTACACTGCAGATGTCTCCAGGACAACAATCTCCATGCCAATGGAGCTGTTGCCACGGGAACTGGTCACATGGCACTGCCAATTACCGGAAACATCAGCATCCACGTTGGAGAGGATTAGTTCACTAAGAGAAAGGGAAGGGGGGAGAAGAAGGACAGGAGTGATGCTTTATACCATGTAAAGCCATATAGAGACAATATATCTGCTTTTACAAGCAAGTAATGACAATTAATTGTTATTGTATTGTTCAAACTAATCACAACAGGCAGTCTCAGACTTATAGGATTCAAAGATAGCACAATTTTGACAAAATTGCAAACAACTCAGTCTTGAAGGCCTCCAGTTCCCGCCAACCTCAGGCTCCACCAGACCACCAGCCTTGAGCTCCACCAGCCCACTGGCCTTGGGCTCCACACCCATGTCAACCTCAGCTATGCCCCAGGGCCAGTTCAGCCCCTTTGGCCTCAAACACTTTGGCTCTTGCTTCTTGCTGATGTTTGGACTAACTGGACCTTCTGACGTCCAAAGAGTATTAATTCCCTTCTACTTGACTGCTCTGCGGTTCTTCCCTTACAAGGTACTTAAACTCTCCAGATTCGTCCCAATGCTTTGCAAAGTCTTGCTTTTTTCCTGACAATTTCAGGCTGTGTTCTTTAGTGTTACTAATTTCATGGTTCATTGTATATTTATGTTTTTGACATATTTTGCTTGCTGCCTTTTCTATGACTATTCTGTCTTAGAGATTCTGTGTTCTGTGAAAAGCCCAACTCACTTGCAGCTTGTCTGCTGTCTTACATTAATGTATCATATATTCAGTGCAATTACATATAGTATTAATTTTGTACAGAGCAACTTTCAGGGAAACACTGTCAATAACAGTTATTTTCTCTTTAAACAAATAACAAATTAAAAACAGTTGAGACAGTATGTGAAGTGCAACAGAAAACAGTGATTTGCAAATTCATTTTAACCTGTATTTAAACAGTACAAAGACAAGTTATTTCAAGTTTTACCTTATCAGCTTCATTGTTTTTTGTAAATACATGTTCTTTCTAAAATTGATGCCTGGAATACATTCCAAAAAAGCTGGGACAGGGCAATTTAAGATTTGAAACATTGTAAAATGTTCAAAAGAACATCTTAGAACAAGTGACATAATCATGCTTGGGTATAAAAGAGCATCCAGGAAAGACCTAGTCCTTGTATATATATATATATATATATATATATATATATATTATTGTCTGTACTATAATAAATTATTTAAAAATAATTTATTATAGTACAGACAACCTTCCAGACTGAATCTCTTATCTAGGTAATCATTTAGTTAATGTGCAATTGACTGCAATTGGGGGGGTACAGAAATGATGAAACACTACGTTTGAGTCTACTTATTTATTATCTCCCCTTTTCACGCATGATAATGCATTATGCATTAAGATAATGCATTAAGTATAGTTTTATAGTTTTATACTATAAAAAATGTAAACATGAACACTGTATGGAGATACTTGCGTGTTGATATTGTCATTACTGTTCGTTAAAGACACTGAAACAACACTGTTGTAGCTGGTAAGTTGAGCACAAGGTTTCAGTGCTAGCAAAAAGGCACAAAGTCTGCATAGTGTGAAATGTGCGAGAGTGTACAGCCAGCATTGGTGAACGTACGGTCAAATATTTTGCAGAAGAGATTTTGTTTAATGCGTGCTCTATACTATGTGAATATGGGCAGCTGTTGACATACCAAAGTCCCCTAATTCACATCTTTTGCATGTTGACATAGCTCACATTTTTTATCTCCTCTTTTTCAGGGGTACAACACCAGCGCAACACACACCACCATGCACTACAATGCACCATCACCACATCAGTGTCACTGTTGTACCGAAAATGATTCACCACCAACTGGTGGCTTCAGTCCTCAAATGATTATTAAGCAGAGTTAAAAGGAAAGATGATGTAACATGGTTAATATGCTCCTGTCACAACTTTCGTGAAACATGCCACAGGCATCAAATTTGGATTAAGAGCATATTCACCCCCCAAAAAAATACATAATGCAAAATATCAAATGTCAAACTAAATTTACTAACCACTGCTTTCTTTTTTTTATTAGTATTTCACGTAACAGTCAACACTCAAACAGTACATCACAGCGAGAGCTAGAGTAAATCTTCTTCAGTAAAAATGATTAGAGTCTCTCAGAGAGCCAGTAATCCCAAACAGAGACATATGCATGTGCACACAAATACACACACACACAGTTGCACACTCTCAGTCTCTCTCAGCAAAGTGCTCTGCTTAAAATAATGAATGCATTATCACTTTCCATGGAAATTATTTCAGTTATAAGATAAGCAAAATAGCACCTTGCATTTCAGAAGCAGAAGGCCAGATGCACTAAGCCTTTTGGGCCAAATAGGATGCATTCTGCTGGAGCCTACGCATCATGTACGTGGAATAATGCAAAATACATTTCTCTCTCATATACATATGCATTTATGGGGAGAAAAAAAAGTTCATCTGATTACACATTCTGTCCAATTTAGGGAAGTTTGTGAAAATAGTGGCAGCCAATTTTGTGCATGTGGTAAGTCCTTCAACAATGGCAGCAGCCACAGGAGCTAGAGAGGCACAGGCCTTGAAGACAAAAGAATACACTATATGGCCAAAAATATGTGGACACCCCTAATTATAGAGTTCATGCTGCTTTTATAGCCAAACATTGGCAGCAGAATAAGTCAAACTGAAGAGCTCAGAGACCTTAAACATGGCACTGTTACACGATTCCACCTTTACTACAAGTCGGTTTGTAAAATTTCTGCCCTGCTAGATCTGCCCCAGTCAACTGTAAGTGCTATTACTGAGAAATGCAAGTGTCTAGGAGCAAGAACTGTTCAGCCATAAAGCGTCAGATCATGCAAACTCAAGTGCAGAAGCATGTAGTACGCAAAAAAATCAGATGCAAAGTTTGTGTTGCATCACTCACTACAGACATCCAAATTGCCTCTGGAAGCTACATCAGCAACAGAACTGTGTGTGGGTAGATTCATGAAAAGGGTTTCCATGGCCAAGCAGTTGCACACCATGAGATGCCAGAAGAACACTACGTACCTGAGTGCATAGTACCAACAGTAAAGTTTGAATGGGCAGAAAAGACTGAATGGGCATAAATTTCCACAGGCATTCTCTAAAGTCTTGTGGAAAGCCTTCTCAGAAGAGTGGGGGCTCATATAGCTGCAAAGGCGGGGCAACTCCATGCCCGTGGTTTTGAAATATATATAGGTGTGAAGGTAAGGTGTCCACATATCTTTGGCCATACAGTGTATTTGCCACCAAAATAACACTATTTCAACTCTGAAGTCCAGATATATGCAAGAAGCCAAAGCACAAAATGTGTCTTGAAACGGCTGCAATACACACTCACAATTTGTGCAAGAATTCCATTTTTTCACTGCGCCTTTCAAACCCTGTACCTCACAAGTATGGCATCTCACTATCCTATACTGAAACTGCATGATTAACTACACCCTTAATAAATTACATTTTCATGTCAGATGCACTGCAAATGTGGCTGCATCAAGGCACATTTTGTACAGCAGACCCAGAGTGTTCTGTGTTGATCTACTGTCAAAAAACCATGACTGTGTGTTCTTGCATTTTTTTTCTTATTTGTGCAAAGAACACCCTCCAATACTGAATATATGAGGATTATTTGTCTCCTTCATATTAAACAGTAATAGTAGGAACTAGTTATCAAACTGTAATTCACAGAAGTTTGCTCAGATCAGATAAAAAAAGAGAAATACATTTTCTGGAAGAATTGTCAGAAGCACACTCATGAATCATCCTGAGATCTACTGATGATGGCTGATTATGGGACATTATTCTACCTTCCTGCTGTCCTCCACCACAACACAGACCACAGGGCTTGATTAATAACCCTGGGCTGTTCCACTGCCTGGGAGCAGACATAGGGGTGTATGGGAGGGACCTTGCAATACTGCAGAAGCCAGACGGCCAAATAAAAAGGGCCTGGTTGGTTCGGTAGCACATGGTGACGCTCTGCAGCATGGCAGCGATGCTATTGCACTCTTAGCTTCAGAACCACAGGCCAAAAATAACAGTGCTCTGTTGCTAAAACAGCCCCTTTCCATCCAGCAGCCACAACCGCAGCACACTGCATCTGCTCCTGCCTCTGCAGGCCACACTAGAATAGAAAGCCACAGAGCTTTTTCGGCAGCTCTGAAGTCCTGCTCTCTCTCTCTTTAATTCAGATTAAAAAATGAATGAATGCTAGCTGAAGAAGAATGTGTCTGGACTTTGTAGATAGGATTAGAAACTGGGTAGAAAATCAACCACCAAATGAAAATGGAACAGCAAATGTACATGTGTGGCTACATAAGTGTGTGAGAATCAGAGAATAAGCCTGAAGTGCTTTACCTTCACCGGCTTTCTTTTATGAAAAAGAACTACTCCTATAAAAATCTTGTAGTATATTCAGACAATTACAGCAACATTGGATAATAATACAGGAATATTCTAGATTCTGATTACTGTTATTATACAGCTTCTTAGAAATCTTATACAGTACTGTCAGAGGCTAGCGTTTAATCATTTAATTTCCATTTAAGACAGCCATTGAGTGCAAGTTATTTATTTTTCAAGAAGAAAAAAATGAAAACATATTTAACAGAAGATTATACAGCGGCCTCAACAACTAAATATAATATCATTTTTCCAGCATTAAGTGCGTCCACTCTTTGCCTTCATTACAGCTCTCAGTTTTTCAAAGAATTCTGCAGGGGAATTTTTCCAAACCTCCAAAGTTCAAGCTTAGAAGTTGGTCGCATTTTTTTTATTTTCACAATCCAATAATCCCAAACACATTCAGTGACGCTTAGTTTCAAGTCTCACGAGTGGTCAGTCCATTGTTCTGAGAATACCGGCAGCTTCATTGTTTGAATTAAAAATGTTCTCATTTTTGTCTGTTTCCTTTTCTCAGTAACAGATTCTTGGCAGCTACAAATCTCTTCAGACCCATAGTGCTGATTTGTCTTCTCACAGTGGAAGGATAGACAGAAACACCTGTGGACTTTTTCAGATCTAAAGCAAGAGTGG